GTGCCTGGTCAACCTTTTTATCTTCTGAAAGTGAGATTGGATGGGCATGAGTCATGCAGAGGGTTGAAACAGAGCAGACATTGCACTGAAGCCATGTGAGCTTCACAAACCACCCAGCCATACAGTAACAAACAAGCCTTCCTTCCCCCTTTTACCCCAGCTCTCCCTGACTTGTAGCTGCATGTCAGCTGGCCTGCACATGTCCACTCAGAGGAGTCAGGTCGCCTCTTCCTGTTCATAACTTGCCTTTAGACTGTTTCTCATACGCTGTACTTGTGAAGAGAATGTGGACTATCAGTCGCACCTGGAGGATCCGTACACTAACCCTGTTTTACACAGGAATATATTGATTCATGTTCCTATTTTGATTCCGTCCCTGCAGCCGTACTGTAGCTGGACTGAAGCGGCACAAGATCCGGTATGTCAAGAACACGTGAATTTCACATGTCATCGCCTTGCCTTTTCAGGCCTGAATCAATAATGAACATCTTGTGTACAAATCTTAAGTTGTAGAGAAATCTGAAGAATTCAAAAGTTTAGACTGACCCAGCGTGACCTGTTGTCTGGGTAGTAACCCCCCCACCCCCACGAAGAACTTTTGATACTGTGTCTGACCACTGGCCACGTTCGATGTCAGGCTGACCCATCCCACAGAAAACCTCTTTAGCGAGCAGACAATCGTTGGCATAAGGGTATGGAGGAACCACACCGTTATAAATGTGCTGTCGTTAATTAGTGTTGCAGCTAAACAGTAACTTTGATCATCCATTAACCTGCTACAGCAGCGTGTCCCTGCCACTAGGACACGATAAGTTATCACTGCACACCAAATGATTCTGTTTTCTGCCCAGTGTCACGCTGCGTTTTGGTTGTCAGACATCTTTTCTCAGTGCATCATCCCACAAAGAGGAACCTGACCATTTTTGAGTCGAGTGCGACTGACCAACGTGTGTGTGTGAGGGGTTTTTGACTCCATGGCTGACTGGTTTGGGTGACTCTTTTTCAAAGCTCTCAAGCTCCCAGTCTGTTAGAGACCAGCTGCTCTCACCACCATTTTCCAAGTGTCGTGTGTGTGTGTGTGTGTGTGTGTTTACATGTACATGTGTTTATGCTGAGCGGTGGGGTGACTGGTGAGCTGGCTCTGCCATTGGTTTGTCATCCTTCCAGGCCAAGTATGGAGAGTCTTGGGGGGTGGGTGGCGGATTTGTTGGAGTACCTTTTGCCATAGGCAACTCTCGGCCAAGCAGAGCACCAGTGGCATGTACCTACTGTTGACAGAGAGACAGTGACATCTACTTTCATCAGTCTGCAGTTCTATCTGTTGATTTAGTATATGAAATGTAAAGATCATGTGGGAAACAGTAAAAAGAAAGCACAGTTTGACATTTCATTAGCTTTAGGTAACCAGTTTTTAATTTGATAAATGACCTGAAACATTTTATCAGTTATATTTCTGTTGAACGATTAGTCATTTCAGGAGGGGTCAGCAGTTTTCTGATATAAATTTCTCCTGATATACAATTATGTGTATTATGATGGGATTTTTCCATCCCACCCACCGCTGTGTTTCAGCATTACACGTTTTGGTTCACTTTTTAAAGCTCAGTGTGCGTTTTTCTTGCCATTTTCACAGCCGGTTACACTGTAGATCACTCTCAGACTCATCGCTTTTTACTGTAAACTTGCAGTAGACGGTCTCGGCAGGAAGTGTGCAATATGTGTCCACATATTTCTCCCAGTTTTCAGTTGTCTCAATCAATTGAAAATGTGAGGAAATAAGGTGTGGATTGTCTGAACTGTGGTCACTTAAAATCCAAGGAATCTGCATGTGTACACAGCTTTGTGTGTATTAGCTAAGTCAACGTTAGCGCCCGTATATCTTCCAGGATATTTGGATAAATACCGTAGGATTGTCAACACCTCTATCAATATAGAATACACAGTTGTTTTTTTTTAAATTGGTGTGTAATTCTTTCTCAACTAGTTTCAGCAGCGTGGGCACTCAGCAACACAACAATTGCACAAGCACAGTGTCCAGATAACGTATGATAAGGTAATGGACATTCACTCTTTAAAGACCATTAACAAAAATGATTGAATCACAATGTGCCACTTTTTTTTTTAATGGACAAAATGTTCAGAATAGTAGTGCTACTTGATGTGTGCTGCACTGTGTGGCTAGAGATGTTTCATGCGTCTGTGTTGTCTGGTCGAAAGGGGCGTGTTTCTGCTATTCATAGTGAGAAACTCCGAGGTCTATTATAGGTCAGTGAGAGTCCTTCTAATAGCAACTGCAGCACAGGGCCTTTCAGATAACCTCCACCTGTGGACACAGTCTCTACCTTTCTGTATATACACACACCGTGGGACAGTAAGTATAGAGGCTTATTTCATTGTACTTTGTCAGTCAGTGCAGAGTTTTTTGTTTTACTCATTTTAGCTGCGTTGATAAATGTTCAGCAGCTGACTGCGTCTTGCCTGTCTCTCTTAATAGCTAACAGTAACACGTATAAGACATTGTGGTGCTTTTTTTGTTTGTTTGTTTTAATGTGTAGTTTGTTTTAAATGTGTGTTTTTTTTTTTGTATAGGACAAATGGGACCAAACAGCTTTAATTAAACTTGCTGGTAACTTGTAATTTTACAGTGATCTCATTTAACCGCAATTTGCTGCACTTGAGTTGTAATTATAAGTCAATGAAATATAACACTTTGTCCCAGTTGGCACTGGTTCCTCATGTCATGGGCTCGGTGTTAATAATAGAAGTAGGTGAAAAGTCAATTGTCACCTCTGTGTAAGTTGTTAAGCTGTATATTTACCCACAGGGCTGTTACCAGTTAGAGGTCAAGGCTACCCAGTCCGCTAACGGATGAAAAGTAAAGAGAGAAAAGTTTGGTCTGTCGTTCCACATGTTGATCTAATTTACATTTTACCTTAACATGTACACATTTGTTTTCATTCTTTCTCAGTTATTTGGCTGTTTTTAAGTTTTAGTAGAACGGAACCACATAAATCTGATGCTTTGAATCTTGAGGTTTCAGCCTAGTGAGCTCATTTCTTACACATCCTGACCTGAACGCCTCCCTTCCCCTTCAGACATGGTTTGTGCAGCGTCTGCGGTCGTGTCCTTATATCTCTATGGAGGCTTGTCATCTGGAAATGTGTGTGGAGTCGTGTTTCCTTCCCCTGCCTTTGCTTCCAAGTGCACAGCTGTTGAAGAGGATAGCGCATCACAAGTTCTGAACAGAAACAGTGTCAAAAAAAATACGCATTTGTCTATCAACAGCTTATTCTGCAACAATTTAAATTGTTAAAGGTCTGACTTTGAATACAACCTACATATTTTAGTGTTACAACTCTGCTATATTCAGACCTTGTTTATTTCTTGGTCTCTGTGGCCACTGTTGTTAAAATCTACACCTTGCCTCTTCCACACCCCTCTGATCCAAGGTTATAAGATGCGTTTTTCAAACCAGTATGGCTCATTTCAAAGATGGACCATGGAGGCTCCTTGTGCAGGTACAACCCAGAATGGGAGCAGAGCTGTTAGACCCAAGAGGCCATGATCTGTAGCACAGAAAGAGTGGGACAAAGAACAGGGCAAAACCAGGGTTAACATCAGTTTGGCATGTTGGAGATGGAGAGCATTAAAAGCATCCAAAGGACTAAAATTTGACACGGATGTGGCTTTCTTCCTCCTAGACTCGTAAGTAGCTGTTTCTTCACCAAGCACTTCCAAGTAGAAGTACAGATACTTGTGTTTATAAAAAAAAGAGGAAGTACTGATTCAAACTCTTTACTTGAGTAAAAGTAAAGTACAGGCTCTGAAATGTACTGAAAATATAAAAATAAAATGTAGCCCTTCAAAACAAATAACGTATTCTCAAGATTATTAAACTGTTTAACTTAAAAAAAAATTAACTAACAATAACACATTTCAGGTTTAATTAAGCCTTAAAGGAGAGAGAGTCTTTTCAACAGTTTCCATATAAAGACTAAAACCCGGAGTAAACTGCCTATTCGCTGTTAATGTCTGTCAGTTTCCAGCCTAGATCAGCTTATTGATCTGTGCCATAGATAACCAATAATTCCCCTCTAATGTATTAAAACTAAAAGTAATGGGACTGATTTGAAACTGTAAGGAGTAGAAAGTATAGATGTTTGTGTTTAAATATAGAGAGTCAAAGTAAAACGTTGCCAGAAAAATAAATAAGTAGAGCACAGGTACCTGAAATTTTTACCCACGTACAGTAACAAAGTCTTTGTGCTTCATTGTTTCCTACCTCTGCAGAGTGGCTTGTTGTAATGGTCTGAAACAAAAAACCCATTGATAAAGTAAAAGGAACGGCCCCTCACACAGACAGCTGTTTCCTCTGGGACTGTGGGAGGCGTTCAGAAGGCACAACACGGCTTTTCTTTTCAGCTTACATTGAGACAAAGAGGTTGTGATGAGTAAATTGCTAAACAGCTGTTTTCTGGTAAACACAGACGCATGTAGAATTAAGAGTAAATGTTTGCACCTTTAACGTCCCCGTCTCTGCTTCCCTTCAGGGTCAGTGCAGAGCAGCCATGCAGGCTCAGGAAGTCCTCAGGCACCTACGGATTCCCGAGCTGGATGACGTTCGGCAGTACATGCGCAGCTTTCCCACCAACGCTCTCATGGGTGTGGGTGCCTTCGCTGCCATCACCACCTATTGGTTTGCCACACGACCGAAAGCCCTCAAACCACCATGTGACCTTGGCCTGCAGTCAGTGGAAATACCAGTGGGTGACCTTTCTTTTCTTAAGTGTGGTGATACTGAATGTCCTAAATAAATTCGTGCAATGAGGATCTTAATATGTAAAAGAGAGATCTGCCCATGCACACAGTGTGTTAGAGGAATGGCTGAGGCATGACCCAAATCCAGGAATGC